TCTATAAAGTATTAATAGAATAAAAGGAAAATAATCTATTGTCTATTTATCTATCCAAAGATAATTTCTTTCTTTGCTTCGCATATTTACTCTTGATATTTCTCTCCCTCTCTCTATGTGTGCGTGTGTGCGTGTGTGTGTGTAGATTTTCCCCACACCCCCAATTAGAACCAAATTATACACACAATTTTACATTTCATTTTCTTAGTTTGTTTACATCATAAGACTATTAATTTATCTCACATGCCTATTATTTTTCCTTTCTAAATAAAATAATAATGTGTTTAAAGTATCCTATCCTGTGAATGTACCATAATTATTTGAATTTAAGGTTAACTACTTAGATTGGTTTCAATTTCCCAACTTCGAAGTCAGGTTAATTTACATGTAATTTCCCCACACATTGTTGGCTACATTCTCAGACTATATTCATAAAAGTGGCATCAGCATCATAAGACATAAACTTTTCCAAAACCTTTGGTATAAAATTCAGCTACTTTTTTTTTTACTCACTGACACTGAGTTGATTCAAACTCACAGCAACCCTGGAGGACACAGAAGATCAGCCCATCATCGTTCCCAGGCTGTAAAGCACTGTGCGAGTTCACCGCCTCATCTTTCTCCACGGAGTGGCTGCCTAGTGGCTTTTATCCACCAGCCTTTTGGTGCGTAGCCACAGTATGCTAAGCATCTAGCTATCATGACTTTTCAGAGATTTTGTGAAATTGCCAGTAATTGAACACGTTGATAACTTAGTATGTGGCACAAAGGCCTTCAGTGTGTATCAACTTCCTTATTTTCATCCCTACTCTGTTATACTTTTATTCCTTAACTTCACATACCACATTGCAGTTGATGTGTAAAAGTCATCTGATGTAATTACTTTTGATTTTTAACAAACAATGAAAACTGTGGACCTCTTCTGAGAAATGCAGTCTGCTCCATTTTGCCCACAATTCCAGGTATTCCGGCTTTCTCCTGCCCCAGTTCCCACGAACTTTGGTCCTCATGTCATTAGTTATACAGAGGACAAGAACAGTCTATTTCCTAAGATCTTCAATTGTTAGACAGTTCTTGACAGAGAATAAAAATCTTCCTTCCTAGGATTCCTACTCACTGGTTCTAATTTTCCTCTTTACGGATATGATGGGAAGTACAATTAATTTTGGCCTAACAATCCAAACAGTTGAAATGCATTCTCTTATCTAAACTTGACTTCTTCAGACTAAATCCCTCATTTTCTCCATTTGTTTTTTAAATGTGGCTTCCATGTATGATAAAGCTTCCGGTTAATCTGCTGGAGCCCAGATGCTTCACCTTTACCAATGCCTTGCTTGAATGTGGTGTCCAGAGGATGCTATGTGCTTTGCTGTAGTCCTTGAAATCAACCACTTTGCTCCCTGTCAGACACTTTGTAGCAAATTCTGCCAGGAGGTTCATGAAGCCAAATGCATAAAACGTACTTGCATGTTCTTTCCACCAGCCTTTCTCTCTAACCCGCTGAAGGTGTTGTAAATCCTGATTCAGTCAGTACAAGAGAAACTCGACTTTGAATGCTGTGTTATTTACTACTTTGGTACTACACTTTATTTATCCAACATATAAGTAATACTATGTAATGTGCAATTACATACACAAAACTGAGACTAAAACATATTAACTGAATAATTGAATTGTTAAACCTCTTCTAATACTATAGTCTAGGAATGAATGCATTTTTTTATGTGTGTGGTCCTATTAGAACTACATCTTCATACAATATAGAAACTGCAATAATAACAACTTACCTCGTACTAATAATGGATAAAGACTTCAGTGCATTTGTTAGCCAGGAGTCTGTGAGCCCTTCAATCTCTGCCCTTAACTGCAGCCATGCATCTCTCTTGGCGGGGCCAAGGAGACCTGAAACACCGAAGAGCAAAGCCAATGAAGAGACTGAGATGTTTATCAAGAATCTCTTGTTCTGCCTTCCTTATGGATGGTAGAAAGCATTTATATTCCAAGCAATCTCAGAAATCTAGAGAAATACTGATTTATGCCAATATTAATTCCTCATTGTAGAACTGGTTATTCATTCATTCAATCAACACTACATAATATCTAGGAATCAAGTTTTGAGCTAAAAAGTGGGATTCAACAGTAAAAATAAATGCTAGTCTCTGCCCTTAGTGAACTTAAGAGTCTGGGGCAGAGAGCACAAGTCACCGGCGGAGGCTTGACAACTCCGAGAAATGGACACAACAGGTCTGAAGGAGGAACAAAGTCTACTGGATCTAGAAACCAACTCTCAGGTAATTGGGTTGTCAAAAAATATTTGATTTCTTATTGATTGCAAGCATTTATATTTTGAAACCACAGTAATGGTGTCATTGTTGATTGTAATGCGTTCAAATATCAGCTATCCTGAATTTTTTAAAAAAGCTTTTTTATATGTATAGTCCTGAAGTATGTGGTACAAGTATAGAAAATGTAATAAGATATGAAAAAGGAAGATGTGCTATTTTTTTAGTTTAAACTGATCAAGGTCTTGCCTTTATGACAAGATAAGAAAAAGACCAAGAAAGTAAAGCCACTGTATTTGGTCAGTTCTGACCCACAGCGCTCCCATGACAAAGTGGAATTGCTCCACTGGCCCTTCCTGGCCAATGTAATGAATCTTTACAGAGCTTCTAGTCAGACCTTCTTCTCCAGTGCTATTTGAACTGCTCACAAAATCATGTTCATCCATTCCAAATGAAGGATTTTTCAGTTTACATTATTTCCTATTACTAGGAGAAGATATTGAAATACAAAATTTCCTATCAAAACTCATAATTTCTTTTACATCTTTTGTGACCTCAAATCAACAAGAGACTCATAAAATACTAGCAATGAGATCTCATGTGATTGCTCAAATTGTCTTAAGATATATGATCATTCTGAGACAACTGAGTTTGCTTTAGGAACATTTTATGAGAAGGCAGTTATTATGTATTTGAATGATAGGCTTGCGCAGTTTGGTAGGGGGAGGAAGGAGGGGAAGGAAATGGGAAGGAGTTTAAGATGTGGGAAAAGAGAAGGTAATGGTGATGAAATGTACAAATCTTAATACATGACAATGACTATATGAAACACTATGTGAATGAAGAACAGTGTGAAACACAATGTATATGAACTTTGTAAACAAACTAATTAAAAAAAAATCTTAATCCATATTTTCCATGGAGATATCATGTTAAATATGTTGCTCACAATTGATTATAGACAGAATACACTATTTACTTGAATTACAATAACGTCTTGAGTAGAATATTGGAATGAATCATGAAGAAACTTGTCCCTTATAACCTAGCCAAATGTTTTCCAGATTCCCATGTCTCATTTGCAAATGAATGCTTTCCACTAGATACTATCTAAGTTGCTGTTTAATTCTAGCATTAATACTATCTGCAATTCTATGCCTGTAGATTATCTTCTATTGTCTCAATGTTAGGCGGAGAGGGTGCAGCCAGAGTGCTCTTTGGAGGCAAGGATGAGGAGGCTTCGCCTCACATACTTTGGTCATGTTGCTAGGAGGGGCTATTCCTTGGAGACGGACATGATTCATAGAAGAGCGGAAGGTCGGTGAAGGAGAGGAAGACCTTGACCAAGTGAATTGACATGGTGACTTCTATAATGGACTCTATTGTGTCAGGAAGTGTGGAGATGGCACAAGATAGAGCATGGTTCAGAACTGTTGTTCATAGGGTTGTTGTGAGTGATATTCAACTCAACAGCACCTAAAGACAACAACAACTCTTAATGTCTGTATGTGAGAGAGTGAGCTGGTTGGTTACTACTATGTGTGAATGTGGCCATGATCCTTACCATAGTGTGATTCCTCAGGGCATTGCAAATTCTAGCCTCTCTGATATTAATGAACCTAGGGTGGCGTCTTGTCTGGTGATGTTGCTATCTCTGGGAACCATACTGAATACATGTTCGGCTGTTCTCTGGCATAAAGCTTAGGAGTGTTTAATTGCACACCTGGCTACCTGACTTGTGACCTATTACACTTGGCAAATTTGAACTCATCAATGTCAGTTTTCTGACCCCTGCTCTCTGAAGAGGATCTGTGGACATGTCAACCGCTGAAGCCAGGAGCCTCCAAATCCAGCTGCCTCAGACTCTACTTTCCTGCCTGCAGATCACGTGGACTCCACCTAAACACCTTTCTCTTGAGGTTTGACCTACAGACTGGGACTTGCCAACATCTACCATCATGTGAGCCACAAAATAAGTCTTTATCTCGCTATACATACAACATGTTGTTGTGAACTGTAGAGTCAGAACTGAACAATAGCTGATCCTCTGGTGGGTTTTCAGAGCCAGTTAATTGCACGGGAGGAGACTGACCATCCTTCTTCCACACACTTACATATATATAGGCCGAGAATTCAGCCTAAGAAAGTGCGTGTGACAAATAAATGTGTATATAGTAAGTGAATTTGTTTTATATGATATTATAGTCAGGAGTTCTTGAATGATTCACATGCTTAATACAACAGTTGATACTATTAATACAGTCAGTTTCTAATCAAAAGGTTGGAAGTTGGAAACTTAGGTTCAGGCAGTGGTACCAAGCAAACAGCTATTGATATTCTATATTTTATTTTGTAACATATATGTTTAGAGAGGATGGTATATTTACCTCTTATTCAATTTTCAATTCTGTTTTACACCTCACATTCATATCTCATTTTTAAAAAAGAGAAATTCTTTGTAGCCAGATCTTAAAAATACAATGGTCTTAGCAACTGATCCAATGACCAGGGATCTCCTTTGAAATGGATTTTTTCACTGATTCTCAATGATAACATTCCAGCAAGCAGAGGAAGAGGGGCAAACCAATTACCTTCCGTACATAGTGGTCATATGTAATTTCAAAACCTAATGCCAATCCTTGCTGGAGAAGCTTGTTCTTGTATTTTACAGTAATAACCACCTCTTCAAACATCTGGCTTTGAACCACTCCAATCAATACTAAGAAACTTAACATTCTAAAACCAGTGTGGTTCACTGTTTACTCTGGGTATTCCCTTTACAGTAGTCTAGTCTTCAACATACAATTACAGTGTGAAATCTATTGAACTCTAACACTGTCTTTATGAGATTTAAAAAGCTACACCTACCTCCAACGTTGTTCTTGTAGGTGTTATATAATTCTTTTACTCTTCTGTAACGAAAAGCCAACTTCCTCATCCAGTCAACCCCTCCTCTTACACCTGTTGGCAAACAAAGGTTTGCACTACTTGCAGCTGCATGGAAGCCATCAGTTGCAAAACTGTAGGTACTGCAACACCCAAAATACATTAAAAAGAAATAAAAGAAATAATTACATGTGCAAAACTCTGCTGCTGAATTTCTGTAGGAAACAGCATACTGAAAGGCACAGCTTACCTTAAGTCCTGTCCATTATCATCGGAGGAAACATCATCTATATGAACTTGATCACACTCCTGTTAAAAACATTGGACAAATTATTTGTGCTTCCAGTGATATTTGTCACCACAGCCAAAGGCTTTTCCAACGTCCAATGATCGGGAGATGGCCAGCAGATGGCAGCATCTGTCCATCTACCCCACCACCTCATCTGTTTCCCGTAGGCTGGAAAACAGTACCATTTCTAACTTGTAAAATCTAAACCCAGAGAAGTATCATAAAAAAGATGGCCCTGAGTCCATATGGCATGGGGTTTCTTTATAGTAACTTAAAATATAGACTGAATCTTGAAATTGCAGACAACAAACTATCTTTGGCATCTTTGAAATCACCGTAACTTTCAGGCATTGTTCTTCTGAGATACAAACCAAGCCTTTGGTCTGAACACCTTCAGTGGTGTTCTTTGTTTATTCTTTGTTAAGCAGAAAATAGGAGGCTTGCATTATTGGTCTTGTAAAATGTCCATGAAATCTTCTGGCTTTTTGCTACGTAAGAAATGCCATGAGGAAGACATATGCTGGTGTTATTTTTGAAGTCCTGGTCTTCTACTACACAGTAAAACAGCAATAACTAGAGAGACTGAGTTTGGTTTTTAAATGGAATAGAATATTTCCAGATTAAATAAAAATAATGAAGATTTACCCTTAAGAAAAGAAGTCATCTGATATTAACTGATACTAACTCTGATATTAACTCACATTGTTTTCAGAGCAACTTTCAGTACTTTATAAAGTAGAACCCCCCCATTCCCTGTTATTATAGTCTTATTATCTTCAAATAACCTTCAAACTTAGAAAAACAAATAACATCATCTAGAAGTGGAATTTGGCTAGAGTATTTAAAATATCTTATTCTAACCCCAGAGTTGTTCTTCATTATTGGGGATTTTCCCCTCTCTCAAATTATTTTAATCATATTCATATATCCAAACATATATATAGCACTTACCGCTAAAAAAGGAACGTTTTTTAAAAAAATCATTATCTATGAAAATATGTTATTATAAGAAAAAAAATTCCTTATCTACATTAATTTATATTCATTATAGGACTTACAAATAACTTAGGTAGTTAAATATTTAATATCTTGTTTCCAGCTTCCTACAAACAATATATAAGATACTGTTCAAGTTTAAAGATGAAGTAGTTAGCTCTGGTTTCATTTGGAATAAAACAACAATAACAATGACAAAAAAACCCCAAACCCAAAAAACTCAGTGACTACTCTAAAGAGTAACATTTTGATTATATTACCTGGAAATTCATGTAGATAAATTTTTGTTTTATTAAGTCAATTTACATTTGACAAGTTCCCATAATTGACACAAGTGATGAGTCATGAACTTTTGGAAAAAAAATATATATCACCAATCCTAGATAAGTACACTTAAAATTTAATCCAAATGGAAACTCTCTGAGGGTAATGCTTAGTTCTCTAGGATATATTCTTAAATAACCCAGCCCATAGGGAGTTTCACTTCTGTATCAAAGACTGCCTTTATGATTTGGATTCTGTGATTTCACTGGAAAAGCTGGGCAATCTCCTCCCTGTGAAATTTACAGCCTCAGAACCCACTGGCGGATCAGTAATGAGTTGGTTACCCATACTCCATTGCAAGTAGTTTCAGACTGACATTGGTTTGTGGTTGTTTGGGTTTTGTTTTGTTTTTTTAAGGTACAGTGTGGTATAATCTTTCAGTAATTGTTTATTGAATGCATGATCAATCCAATCAAGCGATAATTTCTGACACATAACTGGGGCAGGGTTTTGCTCTGTTGAACATAGAGGTGTTATAATCTGGACCTGACTGGACAGGACTTAACAACAATATGGTGCTATGGTGATATAAAATAATGATATTCTTGACCACCATGGGGACTTATAAGGAGATACTTATATCAAGAATGAGGAGGAAGAATCCTTGCTAATTACCCTGGAAATGAAACGTAATTCCTCTATTTAATGCCCTCTTATCATAATTTATAGAGAAATTCTGACATTTCTAGTCTTAACTCACATGATTAAGCTATACATAGTTCACCCCAAAATATATTTATTCTCCCTAAGGACAACAGTATATCAAACTTATTGGACCATAAGCTCCATGTTTGAAGTTATACTTGAGGTTTTTCCAAATCCAACTTCGCTTTAAATTTATGCTTAGTTAACTATGGCTGTTTACTCTGGACTGTTGCCTATGGATTTCAGGCCAGTGAAAGAAACTTGAACTTCTACCATTTACATTTTTAGAAAACTCTAAATAATTGTTCTTCAACTCTAAGGAATTTTACGAGAACCATTCTAACCGAAGTTAGAATTACTGAAAACATTGTCATGTTTTTGGCTCATTGGAGAATTTTTGTGTAGAATTCAAATGTTTGAGCAATTCTGTTAATTAATCATAAATTCATCATTTTTAATCTTCCTGGCACATGAGGTGACCACAGAGTTGTCACTGATGTCCCTCAGTTCTTATTCACGTTGTGTTACCTCACTTTTGTGTTTTCATGAATCCTGATACCGTTTTTCCTGAAAGTTATTCTAACTAAACTGTCATCTTTTTTCTTTTTCTTTTTTTTAAACAGAGTGTCCTTGTCTCAGTGGAAGTGGAGCATACATTTGGCTTTTCTGCAGTTGGGCAGGATGTAATGAAGTGTCTATTAGAAGGATTTCAATTTGTGTCTTTTAAGGAATTATGTGAGGAACAGCTGCTGCTACATAAGTTGCAGTACCCACTGAAGAGTTTAGCTCTCATATGAGATTTTTAGGCTAAAAGAACAAAAGAAAGCCAAACCCTGAAAATTAAATCTCTAAGTAGAAAAAAAATATATAATAAACTATAGATTTGTTCTTGAGGAATTCTGTTTGGGAGCAGCAGTGCAAATGGCTTTTCTTCCAGCCACGGGCACCAGGATGATCTTTAATTAAAAGAGAAATTGCATGAAAGCAAAGTACTTTCAAATGCACATGTGAAAGAATGGTGGCATCTATGTAACTATAGTAAAAGATCTTAATATCCGTTTTTTCAACTGTATTAATTTTATTTGTTATTTATCTCACTTAATAAGCTCTGCTATTCTTGGCACTTACATCATGTGCATGTGTGTGTGCTGATGAGCGTTTATTTAAATTATATGGCAAAAGTCAATTAATGTATTGACTCAGTACAGGCTGCTGGGTAGGTAAATTTCAGAGACTGAAACTGGACATCTTAATCACAAAATAACAAAAAAGAGATATCATCTGATTATAGAGAAACAATACCGATTATTTTCTCAATCACTATACCGGCCGGACAGCCTTACAGATATTTTTATAGGTATATTTATTATAATATCTAATCCAAAATAACAATTATTAAAGTACCAGAGCATGTTGTAACGTGATATTTTAATATTAATTTCAAAGATGAAAGTATTTATACAATGGTAATATGCTGCTGTCATCTTCTTACACTGTTGTTGTTGTATACTATCAAGTCAAAACTGACCCATAGCTGATTCTCCTGTGGGTTTTCAGAGGCAGTAAATTGCATCTGAGGAGACTGAATTAGGGTTCTTTTAAAAGCTGAGCGGTATATTTATTCCACCTGATTTCACAAGTTTCACCAAAGTAACTAAAAGGTCATTTGTGCCATTTAGCTTCATTTAAAAAATAAACAAATTAAGTAAAACATAAAGAAATCAGAAAAAGTGATACTTTTAACTTCAGGCTTGAATAGGTAAATAATCTTACAATTCTCATTAGAATGAGAATCATTCTTCATCAACAGAAAAAGTAGCTGAAAAAAGCTCTCTATGTGTGTGTATATGTATAAAACTCAAATTCTAAAAAAAAAGTTAAAATGTACTTCCTATTATCATGTCTATAAAAACCACTCATCATAGTAGACAGATATAAGAAGTAGGATTACTTTAAGTCAGGTTTCAGAAGAGTAATTATTATTCCATATTTTCTCAGCCTGACAAACTTGCTTAAGGATACTGAAATTTTCTACTGTTTATTGAGGAAGAAAAGATTCCTCTGAAACACAGAGTAATCTGATTAACCAGTTAAAATAATGACCCATTGCAGAGAAAGCAACAGAAAAAGCTGTTACACAATAAATTTCAGCACATACATTCAAAGGATATACTGAACCATCTGCTTCAATCTTATATCTCAAATGGAATTAAACTATGCTTTAGTTGTGTCAAGTCTGTGACTTATTTAATATTACTCATCTGTGGTGCTAAGGTTTTATTGTTTAAAATGGCTTCCCTAGCCATTTCACTTTGACTTTGCCATGTGGATGGGTGAGAATATGTGAATTGGTTGTATTAGCCTATTATTATTCACAGGGAGACTAGCTAATCTCACCAGTCCCCAGAGGACTGGTTAGTCTCACCATTAAATTGAGCAGATCCAGCAGAACAGAAGAGACCTTGTCACCGGCAAAGAAGCAAGAGAACGTAGCATGTGCTTTGGGGTCAGAGATTCTTGCAACAGCCCGACTAGAACACAACATTAGCAGGCACAGGAGCCACAACAGAGAATTAGAGATGTGATGTTTGATGGATCGGACCTTTGGACTGCTACCCATGGAAACTAGCAGCCTTTTGACTAAGTTTGTTGGACAACTTTGGAAAGGGGAGGAGAGCATAACTGGCAGGACTATGAGCCCTGTAATACCGGCCTACAGCCCTGAGGCTCAAGACTGAGGTACCTGTGAGCACATTTTGGACACTTTCCTGGCTGTTTTATGCTTCTAACCTGGATTATAACTTTTTTTTAATACTTTTTATTTATTTTATGTGTGTACCATCAAATTGGATCTGACTGGTACAGGAGGCAATTGTTCCTCCTTCTTTAGCAGAGCATCTGGTGGATTTGAACCGTGCACCTCTGGGATTGCAGTGCAATTTCCTGCCACTAGTCCAGGATTATAACTTTTTGACTTCCCCAGTATGGTTCTGAGTGATCTGTGAGCTATCACATCATATTCTGGGCCCAACAAAGCAGTAAGATTGGTGTTGCAAAGAGAAGAGAGAGGTGTGGGAGTGTGCGGACATGTCTGACCTCATGAGAACTGGGTTTTTGCTGTTGATATTGTTGAAGGGACAATTCTCCTTTGTGAAGTTGCTGAAAGTCAGTTATGTCCATGCCCAAGTGGTCCTTGCTCTTTCTACAACTTGGTTTTTTTTTTCATTCACAAAGAAAAATGTGGCATTAGGACTTGTGGATGAACCATCAATAACCTACCAGATACAGATATTATAACCTTGCCTGCAGACTGTGAAGAAGACTTGAAACACCTAACTGAAGAAGATCAAAGGCTCAACATAAAGAGACAAAAGTCCTCATCAGTGAGTAAACATGATAAATGGAGTGGAGAAAAGTTTGAAAGGAATTTCATTCTACTTGGATGTACAATCAACACTCATAGAAGCAGACAAGGAATATATTGCATAGGAAAAACATGCAAAAATCTAAAGTGCTTAAGAATGTGCTCTGTGGTGCTCGTGAAGAGTTTTGAATATACACCATGGATTGCCAGGAAAACAAACAAGTGTGTCTTGGAAAGGGTGAAACCAGGCTGCTCCTTGGAGGTAATTTTGGATTCTGAACTTCGTCTTGACATATTTTTGGTTGTTGCAAGGAGGGATCAGTCCTTGGAGAGGGACATCATGTTTGAAAGGGTAGAGGGACAGCAGAAGAGAGGAAGACCTTGATGAGATGGATTGATTCAGTGACTGGGGTAATAAGGGTAGGTATGTCAGAGACAATAAAGTTGGCACAGGCAGGTTTCAGGGCTATTGTGAATAGGGTTATTATGAGTTGCAAGCAACTCAATGGCACATAACAACAACAACAACAACAATAATAACAAAGGATATCAGTGTATTTGATCCAAATCATAGTGTTTTCACTTGCTTAATATGCATGTGAAAGTTGGACAAAGAATAAGGAAGATAGAAGAAGAATTGATGCTTGTGGAAAGTACTGTATACATCATGGACTGCCAAAAGAATAGATCTGATTTGAAAGAAGTACAGTGAGGATACTCCATAAGGGAAACATGGTGAGATTTTTTTCTCACATACTTTAAGCATGTTGACAAGAGGGGCTACTTTTTAGAAAAATACATGATGCTTAGAAAGGTGGAGAGTCAGCAGAGGAGAGGAAGACCTTCAACAAGATTGATTAACACAGTCACTGGAACAGTGGGTTAGGAGATTGCGATGGCATAGAATTAGCAAGGTTTCAATTTGCTATACAATTTTGAAATGGAATTGATTTGACACCATTTAGTAGTCTCAACAACTATTTTAGAATAGTGTAGGGACAGAAGAATATGTGTGGTCAAGACAGATGTGGGTTAAAATCTCTGCTATAAACAATCAATCATAAGCTAACTTTGGAAATGATGTCTATGCTTTTGGCTTTCTGTCTTGGAAAAACAATGTAACAGATAAATTTATTAAAAAATATGCTATTAATTAATGGAAGGTTCAATGTAAAATATGCAGCATAAGCTTGGGTCTCAATAATCATAATCTCCCTACTTCTTAAAATTACTAATTATAAATAAATGCTCTTATTTAATTGGGAAATGTGAATTAAAAAAATAAAATGCCTTTTTTAAAACGAGGTAAGTCTTTTCATTAGAGTTATTCTTAATCAAGAAAAATATTTATGCTTAATACCAAAACTACTCAATTATTTTAAACCTTATCATCTAAATGTCTAATAATGCTGATCATTAGAACACCTATTACATACTTTACTACAGTGACTACTTAGTTATCCTGAAACGACTTCTCTAAAATTATTTTGTAATGTTATAGTTTCTTTTCCACTTACTTATATTTTGGATACTCGAGGCTAGAAATGGAAAAATGAATTAAAAGAAAGAGAAGTCAAATACACTCAAACTAATCAGAGGTGCTATGTAATTACTCCAGTATGGCTTAATCTAGGAGGTGAGGAAATAAAGAATAATGGTGACTCTCATTAGTTTTCAGACTATCTGAAAATATCAATGATTCGTGCTATCACTATTAAAAGTAGTTTTGAAGAATTGTTTAAAGTTTCACTTAATAGTATACTAAATAGTAATGTGAGAAAGCTAATACTGATCTTAAGTATGTCACAGGGGTTGAGATGAACACATTAAACCAATAAAAGTGTATAGGTGATATATACAGACTTGGACAGTAAAAGAAACTTTGCATTTTGAGACATGGGTGATTAAAAGATGTTTGTTGTTCTAAATATGTTCAGACAAATGTATATCAATAACACAACTTCAGTATATGCTTATCTTTGTATATACTCTTCTCCTGCTTCACAGGAGCTTTATAGTTCTCTTGTGTTGAATTTCCATCCTTCAGTTTTCTTGAGATTACCTGAATATCTACAAGTCACTGAGGAGTGTGAGATGTTGGATACACGTAATCTCATGATTTCAAAATACTTACCTCTAAGTCATTAAAAAATAAGTGTGTATCAGCAAGATTAAAAATCATTTCCTCCATCCGAAGTCCCAGAGTTACAGCCATAGGAGGATCCTGAAATAGAAAGGTGCACATAATGAGGTAAAAGTTCAGTAGCCATAATTATTAGTAAAATAACCTGAGTGCATATTGGTGTGTTGTGGGAGGGAAAGACTATAAATTTTCTACTGAGATTAAAAGAGAGCCCAGTTATCTGAAAAGGAGAATTTCCAAAGGGATATTTAAGACATACCAAACGCATAGGCACATCTGTGAGTTTACTAACATTTATACATACAATGACTCAAAAGACATGTTCTCATCAGTCAAGTGCTCATGATAAAAATGAGGAAGAAAGCAGGCCAGAGCACACGGCCCAGTTTATATTACTCTATGGAAAGTCCTTTGGGAAAACATATTTAAACAGGCTACTGATGAATAAAGCAGACCCTTAGTAAGAGAAATTATGTCTTTTTAAGAATGAAGACAAAGAATCAGAGAGGCAGAATATGGAGAAAATCAGTGAGTTCTATGTTGTTAGAAACTGTTGTCTTGTGTTGAGATAACAAGAGAATGAGCCCAACAATTTATTATTAATTACATTTTGTGGGAAGAAAAGGAACTAACGATCTTATTCTGAAAAAGTCTATAAATTGGTTTAGGAAGCGTTTCACAGAGGTACAAGGAAGAATAGATGAAAGAAGATAACCATGGGAACACTAATTCAGTAAATATAACCTGGGATGAACAGGTGCAGGTGAATTCTAGTCCTAGAAGAACAAACACATCTATTGTTCTGTTCTGGAAGAAGTGTCACCACAATGCTCCTTAGAAACAAAGACGACGAGATTTTTTCCTCATGTACTGCAGGTATGTTATTAGAAGGAACTAGTCTTGGGAGAAGAGGGTGATCCCCAGTGAAGAGCAAAGGCAGAAGACCCTAAAGAAGAAGCAATGACACGGTGGCTACAGTAATGAGCTCTAATCCAGCAAAACAAGTCAAGAAAACACACAAGCGGGGAGTGTTTCATGCTTTTCTATACAGTGTCACTATCTTGTAACTTGGTCAGAACCCATGTGACAACATCTAACAACCACCAAACACCACCACCACGCAAGAAAAGAAAGGCTTTGAAAAGTTTAATAAAAGTGAAGGAGTTAGAGCCAAGAAGACACGGTTTTCCTTTAAATTAGAAATGAAATTATTAGCCAAAACAATGAGTTGAGAATAGTGGACACATTTGCTACTTTACCAAGTCTCACTTCAGCTGAATATCAGAAATCAAAAAGATGCCATCGTAAAAACTAAAGGAGGAGCTAAAGATAGGAGGGTAATTCATGTGAACCATGTGTTCGGGATGATAAAGGGTGGCATGTTCCCTAAAAGAGAAGCACACTGGGTGTGAGGCTGCAGGTAAGGAAAACGGAACACTGGAAGGGACGGATCAGAATTAGAAAGCAGAATGGGTATCAGAAAGTAGAAGAATGTGGCTTTGAATATAGCTGACAAGTCTAGAAAATATACTATTGGTTTTGGCAGAAAAGTTATTTTGGAAGACCTTAGAGGGTGATTTGAGTTGAGTGGCTGGGCCAGAAGCCAGACTGTAGAGATTTGAAGAAAGAAAACTGAAATTGTATTTTTAATGTTTTTTTAAAAAGATATTTTAACAAAGGTTTGAAAAAGAATATCATGATAATATTACTAACAATTAAGATAAGAACATGTTAACCTAGGTCAAGCCAAGTGGTAATCATCTAAACACCTGAACAGACTCAACTTGTGAATAGAAACTCCTTTTTATACATTGCAAACGACAATAATTTTTTTTCTATGTTTCTCACTGTAATGCTTCAAGTAGGAAGCCCTAGAGTGCAAACATATTTGCAAAGAGTGTAAGTCACTTACTTATATCGTAGCCATTAAAATCCAGAGTAGAAATACAGCTCTAAAGAAAAACATTGTGATTGTGTTGTGTTGATATAGCAAAACCTTGAGGTGGGGTGAAATGCGTAAAACAATAGTAATACACCGGATTTCAACATAATTTTCTAATTGTCTGCATTTGCTTCACTAGTGAGTTTTGTAGATTTCATAGCTGGAGAATCACTTTGAGAATGAATGCTCACTGTACCACACTGATGGCATTCTGATATTGTGTTCTCCAGTGAATAAAACGATACTGCTTTCTAGTGGTAACGTCACTTGGGGCAACAAACACCAGCAATCAAATAAAGTCTATTTCATCCAACACACATATATTCAAAACCAAGAACCAAATATCTAAGGCTCCAATCTCTGTCTCCCAGAGTTCCCTCATTCAGTTTCTTTCAAGTTTGAAATTGAACTTCTCTTATTTCCTTTGTTATTATTGTTTATCTTTTTCTGTTGCTTAAACACAATTTCTGAAGATTGAATTTTTTAAAAAAAAGTTAATTTTGCCTTCTGTTGTAATTAAAAACCAAATCAAACAAACATTCCTATTGCTAGTGTCTTTTGGGGACTTGGGGAACTGGGTAGACGAGAGGACCTAGAAAACCTGTAAATATTCTGTCTCGTCATGGAACCGTGAACAAAACGTCTACAGAAATATCAGGAAAAATCAAATGCAATTATAGCATGAAAACATATAATTCCATTAGTGACGCTCTATGCTTTTGAGGAATGTGCACTGATGCAAGGCATTAAAACGGAGCTCCACGCTGCTCCATTATGTTACTGATGATTACTGCCCTACAGATATACATTTCACATGGGGGCTTAGAAATATCTTATTTAAAAGGTTTTCTGTCTCAAGACTAGGTTGGCTAAGCTCTTTTCCTATGATTGGCCAGTTTTGTTTTGTTTTGTTTTGTTTTTTAAAAAACTGTTTTAAAGTTTTAAATAAAATTACTGATTTTATTTTCATTCCTCACATTCTTTATATTTACAGAAGAGATTTGTGGCAATGGACGGGAAAAAAATGCCATTCATCTTTGATAGTTGTTTTCTTTGATTCCACACTTCTATAGGACGTAATGTTGTACATTCCCCAAATAGCAATAGATAAACCCATGAGAAATGCATTTTGTGTCTCCGATAAGCACGCAAACAACAGAATTTTAAAAAAGAAACAAAATCAGAATTCCCTGACAAGAAGACATGGCGTATGGCATAATGAACCCCACAGCAAGCCATGGAATGCAGCGCCCCCGCACTGGGAGGGCTGAGCGCTTGTTTTCCAGGCTATGGCAACTGCACATCACACTTGAGGGGAGCCAGGGCTTAGTAAGCATTTTGGCCAAATCTCACTTGTGAACTGGGAAAGTTTGGGTTTGAGGTTTGCCGGAGTGTGAACTAGCTGTATTTTACTAAGGTTTCGAGAGAGGACAGGCTGTTGAAAGCGAGGTGTTTCATCAGCCAGGCCAGAGGCTCCTCATAGAGGGCCTTGGTTTGGTCAGGTCACTGGCCAAGGAAAACCATGCCTGTAAGAGGTGGTGAGCTGGTTTCTAAGGGAATGTCTGGTGAGGGCTGGCTTTCAAAGATTTTACTTTTTTAGGTTGGTTTTACTAAATCACTAGGACAGCTAACGCTAAGTAAGCAGTTTGTGGAATGACCTAAGGATCTAAGAAGGATGACAAGATCCTAGCAACAAGCCTTGGCAACATCTCAGCAATGCTGGGCATCGTCCATCATGCCAGCTTTCCTCGGGGGAGCTGCAGTACCTGCTGCCCACTGTTTTATCAGGCATTTCGGAGAACCTACTGCTGGACTCTACTCAAAGTTTACACAGACATGTTTGTTCATTTGCACTCGATCTTTGAAGAAATAGGGGGCACTTTATGGATCAAGTGTTACTGGCTTATTTTAGTTTAACTTGTAGTGAGTGTTGAATTTAGGGTCTAAAATGAAGTGATAAGGAAAAGTTGCAGAGGGGATAAAAAGTGGAGTAAAAAAACATCAGCAAGATTTGATGAGAGCTCTGATACACACTGCTGATATGTCCTGTTGAGCTGGAACCGCACCAGAGCTGCCCCTCCAGAGCATTTTCAGAGGCAATAAATCGCATGAGAGAAGACTGCCCTTCTTTCTCCCGTGCAGCAGCTGGCGGATCCACCGCCTTTGCACTGGCAGTGCAACTCCTTTCCACTAGTTCTTGTGCTACCAACCCAAAGGCAGCTGGTTCAAATCCACCAGCTGCTCCACCAGAGAAAGACAGGCACTTTCCTCTCATGTGAATTCATGGCTCTGAAAACTTGCAAAGGGGCAGGGTCAGTTATGGCTGCTTCTGACACAATATCATACAACGTCAACAACCAGAATGTAGTAGACAGAGGCAATTATCAATAGTGCCTACAGCCCAATTTCATAAGGGGACAACTGATCTTCTGCTGCTTTTATAATATGCATGGTTCTAATAAAATACTGAAATTTTTTCTATGTGTCAAATACAGAGAGAAAGAGTAAGACGAGCAAGTGAAAAAGGTCCTGGCCCTTAAATGTATGATTCTAAGCTGGGTTTTACAAGTGTGTAACAAGTCAGAATCAAGCATGCACATTTCTATATCAAGATATTAACAAACTAATAGCCGCGCTAGCACAGTGCATGAATTGGAGCCAGACTGTCTGTCTACATGGCTCTTCCCTGCTCTGGGCCACCAGCTGGAATTCCTCCTCTAGGGACACAATGTAAAAATATCTCGGGAGAGACAGCAATTATATATTTATAAAGAAATGGAAGACTTTTTAATTTTCTTTAAAGGACTTGCAGTGCTCAATCTCCTGGAATGTGTCGTCCTCTGGGATGGGAAGCACATTTGCCGATCTGGCCCCACAGAAGCAGAAGTCATGCGATCTCATTACAGAAGCATGAAGCCAAACCAAGTCCATGAACAACAGTGGAGAGAGGTTCTCTTCTTATCTAGTGAAGAGTTGGCCATGAACCAAAAGAGAAGTTTTACAATTGAGAAATTTTGCCTATAGTATGTAGGCGGTGCCCTTATGAGTTCTCCACAGGAAATGGGAGAAGGCTTCAGGCACACTATTGTAGTTGTTGTTATGTACCATTGAGTTGGAGCTGACTTATAGCTGACCCACC